GGGAGGGATTGTTGGGGCAAACAAATCCCACATCAGTTGTGGGAAGAAAATAAATCCACCATATAACCCAAGTGGGCTACACCACCCATTACCAATTGGTTTTGGGATGGAACCTCACTTGGGCCTGGTGGAGTGGGCTTGGGCCTTGGGTAATTGCTCTCAATAATTCCCTAACAAGTAGCTTTCAACTGCTACTCAATCCTTTCTTTATCCGACTTAAGCACAAGTTTCTCTTCACGAAGTTCATTCTTCTCTACCTGTTTAAAATAGAAAAATATACGAGATTGAAGGTGTAGAAAGGATCTATGCACAATGTACAGTCAAATGTTTATTCCGTAGGATTAAATATGTTATCATAGAGCTAAGGGAGAAAGAATGGGAGCAGGAGGAGGTTACTGTTTGAAGATCAAAAACATGAAAAGGGTTTTACCAAAATCTCAAATGCAAAATATAATATTCTATTTTCCTGAAGGAGCATTTCTTTCTACTACATATTTTTCTACGGTGACGAAGGGAAGGTTCTTTCTTTCATTATTAACGTTCATAAAAAAAACTTTTGCCATTTTGAAAGGAATCATCATGAGAAACAAATGTTAACATAAAAGAGAACTTCTAAAGTTTAAACAAACAAAACAAAAGTTTATAAGTATTCTTCTTGGCTACGAATAAAAACTTAGTATATGCTTCAAATGCCACCAATTACTATCGGCATAACATGGAAAAATGCATTCACAGTTGAACAATATAGAAACTTTACAAGTATTTTTTTAAAAAAACTAAATAAAACTCTAAAATGAATGCCACTCCACTTGTGTAAAATAGGAATTGGTAAATTCAACTTCCTAGAAAATTTCCTATGGAAGCAAAGCACTGTACAGTCATCCTTTTATACAGATGAATCAGATATCACTAAAAAGATATTTAAAGCAAAAATAGAATGATCGTCACAAACCAGAAAACAACTAGATCTGTCGACAATGCTGTGGGGGTATATAATTCCAGAGCTTCCAGCATAACAAAATTAAAAGAGAAATATCGATTTCCATGAATGTTGCATAAGCATTCGGTCTAACCTTCAATGTTTTGATCTCTTCCAAAAGCTTTTCGTTCATCTCTTTGTATTCCTGAGATTCAGACTTCAGCTCATTTAAAACTCTGATGGCATCACCAATTATAGCCAATTTGTCAGTTTTTACAGGTCTATTAGGTTCCAACAAAGAGCACAATTCTGAGAACCTGGAAGAACAGATATGATTCTTAGAACTATGTGTTATGCTACTAACCCCAATCCTAAACATAAGT